AAATTGCCCTTTGGTTGTATTTATAAATGATTTTGTTTCAAAGCAAGTTGTTGCAGACTGTTGTCCTCATTGGTAATTTGGGAGAGTAACCTTAACAAAAAGTTCAAGTAAGTTGGTTCTAGAATATTACGTTATTGGGGAGAAGTCATTGAAAATGTTGCAGAAAAGCTAGCAGTGTGCTGTAGGGGTGCTGCATTACTTGAAACAGTATGAAAGGCAGAATGGGAAGGCTGGACAGAGATCATCCCTATTAAAATAGAGGGGGGCAATCCAGTCTGTTCTTAAGCTGTTTGTGGACATCATGATTGCTTGTGAGATGAACGTAGGTAGAGCACTGAAGTGAGTCAGTAAAATTTAATGCTAAAGATAAACCTGGCAACCAAGGTTCCTCTTTATTTTCATGTTGTATTTGCCACCTCTTAAAACTAATGACAGGCTGTGAATGCTGGACCATCAGGTAAAGTACTGATGTCACTGGCAGATTTATTCAACTTGTGGGTTTTTTTAATTTATATTTAGTATTTATTGCTGTTTCATAATACCTTTGCTACAGATAGGATCTTCTGGTCAGGTGATGCTGATGCTTTTATGGTTGTTTTCAGTGTTAGCTCTGCCCAGGGTGCTGCAGTTTTAGAATAAGGAACTCTCTGAATATAGTCTTTCTGTGGCTTTTCTTTAAGCCCCTGCACCACTTTGCAGCTGATATTGATGTCCTTTGCGTTGTGACAGGCAAAACTACAACTGGTGTCACTGTGTATATTGTCCAAGGCAAGACCAGGAAAGAAGGGCAGTTTGATTTGTTCTGTTGAGTAGACAGGATGGGATGGGAGCCATCAGCTCTGAGGGAGCCATGTGTGCTGCCCCATCCTAGATCAGGTGCCTGTGAGGAACAGGCTGCCTTATACCTCATTTTCTTTCTTGGAGCAGATCAGTAGTTGAGGACTCAGCAGTGGACTGTCTTCCCCCCCACTTCCCTTTTCCCTTTCAATACCAAGGAATGACCTCCCAGAAGCAATGCCTGGCCTGGCAGGGGAGCATTGTAGCTACCTGTTTACAACCTTTCTTCCCAGGAGTGGCATCTGGGGCAGCGCAGAGTAAATTTCTTGCTCCCTTTTCTTGCTGGGGAAAGACTGTCATATGTAAGGAAGTGAGTCCAGACAGGCTGGGAATCATGTATTTAACTTACTTATTTTTATTTCAATAATAATTACACCTGGACTTCTCTGGCAGATCAGTAGTCTGACAACAGCCAAATTACCTCCGTTAGAGGTATTGGTGCTCAAACTGCGCACAATATGAAGCATTCCCTCTTCTTTCTATACCGAATGGTACATCCTAACCATTTTCTTAGAATCGTAGATCGTAAAGGATGAAAAAGACCTCTAAGATCATAAAGTTCATTTTGCTTTCAGATAAGCCTCTTCCATTTGAAGAGTTTTTCTTTCCTCCATTTAGTTGAATTTTTAGAAGTTATTTTCTGGTCTGTGTGCTGTTAATAACCACAGGGAGGCTGTAACTCTGAAGAAATGGAGTAGTCAGGTGAATATATAAGGTTTTGCTCTACTTCCTCTGTCATATTTGTGATTCTGGTTTTGCTTATATGTATTTTTCACCAGTAATGTTTTACAAATATTGGAGGTAATGAAGTGCCTGTAGTTCCTGGAAGTCCTCTTTGTAATGGGCCATATTTATACATCAAGGCAATAGTAGGTCCATTTCTAACTCTAAATAATCCTCCTCACTTGAGTATTCAAGTGCTTTCCAGTAATTAGTTATCTTACTTAATTGGTTTTTTGGTTTTTTTTACAAGGGCAGGAAGCTTTGCTTCTGTCTTACAGAAAGAACCTTAGCCACCAGGCTGAGTGCATTGTTGTTTTATGGTACATGCTGAGCCTGCTGCAGCCAGAATAGGAATTTTACTCAAATACAATTCCAGCTTTATGTCGAGAATATTACAGACTAGCTAGTGCTGGTGTCACTTTGGAGTCTTTATGTACAGGAGCCCTTCTGTTTTCATTTCACTTCATTACATGCACTGTTCACTTTGCTATTTGCTCTTTTGCTGTAGCTCCAAATCAGAGGAGACCTCCTGGAGAAGCTAAAACAAGGAAACCCTGCTGGGAGCTACCTGTGTCCTGTCGTTTGGTTGCTGGGGAGGAGTTACTGACTCGGTAGCAGGAGTTCATCACAACTGGAGGCTTCAGTCGTTGCTTGTGGCATTCGCAGATCTCAGTGCAAAATCCTCCTCAAAACCTGTGACATTTTAGGCTGTTTCCTCTCATTTGACTTCTCCCATGTGTGCATTCATTAATTTTAAGGATTTACTGCAGAGTTTAGACCTTCCTGCAAATTGCTTGGTTTCAGCCATTAATTATTCACAATCCATGGTGTTTGATCATGTCATCTTTGAGGTTCTGCCTTCCTGTCTGTCTCCCCCAGTTTCATTGATCCAGTGTGAAAACCATGGGAACCATAAAATAGCTGATTTCCT